TCATCATTCAGAGTGTCTGAGGGTTTTATCTACCATCCCTCAAGCCACTCCATCTATACTCACCCCAACTCTCAGGGTTAAAGATTTTAAATCTGCTGTTAGCTTGCCCATCTCTGCTTCTAGTTTCCTCCTAATTAGAAACCTTTATGTGGATAAGAGGCTTCAACATCCCAGCTTAAAGATCTGAAGGCATTTTTCCTATCCCTTTGACTTGGGATTTTTTGTTTCCTCCTTTATGGTTAAGAGCTCAGCTGCTAACCAAAAGGTTGGCAGTTCAAATCCACCAGCTGCTCCTTGAAAACCCTTTGGGGCAGTTCTACTCGTTCGGAATCAACTCGATGGCAACAAGTTTAGTTTGTTTGTTTGTTTTTTATGACTAGTAAAGAAAAAAATCCATTAATTCCCTTTGTAATTTATATTACTCTGTAGTCAGACAATGGGCCCTGGGGGGCACAAACAGTTTGCATTTGGCTGCTAACTAAAAGGTTGGAGGTTTGAATTCACCAAACAGCTCCATAGAGGAAAGACCTGGTGATCTGCTTCTGTAAAGATTACAGTAAAAACAAAACAAAATAAAAAACCCTACGGAGCAGTTCTACTCTATAATACATGGGTTGCCATAGTTGGAATCAACTTTTAGGTTCCTGGTGCTGTAGAATACAAGGACTCAAAGGCCCATGAGAAGGTGAATTCTCGATGGGGCCCTTTAGGAGAAATAGCAAACGCTCTCTTCCTCTGCCCCGGATAATGGCTCTCACATCGCTTATGTGGAGTTGTAAATTGCTCCAATAACATGACTCGGTGCCAAAAGGGGAGAACATCGAGGAAGATATTTTAACGTGTGAAAGGAATCCAGCCAACATCAATTCTTTACATTTAAGTGTTGGCAAGACAAAACCTAGGGAACATATTCAGAAATGTGCATTTCATTGCTAGTGGTTTCTTGCTGCCCTGACTGCCTTAGCTCTAAGATTCTAAGGTGGAAATATGACTAACAACACTTCTGCTGTGGTATTGGGCCACCCATTTAGGAACTGTGAAGTGGTTGTGCCTCCAAACACGTTACAGAATTCCAAATGGTTTCAGACATTTGCTTTAGAAACAATGGTCTATGATTCGGCCAGGAAGATGGATCTTTCCCGCATCACTGGGCATGGCCTTTTGCATGACCCAAGCTCTGGTCCTTTGCTTCTCAACTTGCCTTTCCTGTTGTCATCTCAGGACTACATAAAGGACGGAGTGTATGTTTGGAGATTCTTGACCCAATAAGAAATAAGTCAGCATGTGAAAGTGAAAGAAACTGGCATTTTTTTAAATCAGGAGTGTAGTAAGTATTTTAATAATTGGCTGACTTATGAGCAATCCCCTTTAGGTTTCAAAAAAATAACGTATTTGGAGAAATGGGTTTTCATTACTTTTAAAGTAGATTTATGTTTTAACAGAAGGTACTGTAAGACAAAAATGTCAATTTTCTACATATATGAGGAAAGTTTGGCTGTTGAGAAATAAAAGCTATTGGCAAGTTACAGGCCCAAATTCTCTGCTCATCTATGCCGTGGTAAATAAAAAATGCCTTAAGCATAAATTTGCTACGCAGCTTTACCTCGCTGAGCTATGTATTTACAGCAGTCTGCAAAACCCCCCATGGCAGCATAATGAAGTGGTGTGTTCCCATTCATTGCAATCAGCCCCAGGTCTCCATTGTAGGCAAAAAGAAGCTTCAATATCTGCAAAGGAAATAGCGGATATCGTAGAACGGGAGTGAACATTTACTGGATGAAGACTGGCACCTAGGCCTTGCTATCCATTACATTAGCTACAAGACACATGTGGCTATTTCAAATTTAAATTTAAGTATTTACATTGAGAAAAATTAAAAACTCAGTTCCTTAGATTCACTAGCCATACTTGAAGAATTCACTAGCCATACAAAAGCTACAGGTGGCTACTGGCTACCATATTGGACAGAGCAGGTGTAGAACCTTTCCATCATTGCTCAAAGTTCTATCAGACAGTGTTGATCTAGATACAGAAAACAGTAAACCATGGAACTTAGCCTGGGCACTATCATTTGGGTAAATTCAGGCAATTTATGAAAGCATCAGAATATAGCAAACATCATCAGTGGAGAAAATTCTTTACCAAACGTGGCTTCTATTTTTAAGTATAATTTTATCGCAGAGAAGAGGCTCAAAGACAAAAATAAAGATATCTATGTTAAAACTCAAAGAAAACTGAGTAAAGGGAGTTTAGATGAAATTCAGAATTTAAAAAATAGGATACCATTGGTTTCTATTTTATTTTGGCAATGTCACTAAATCTAAGCAGATATCCTTTGCTGATATGTCCAAGTAATCAGAGTACTTAGTGTTTAAAAGTCAGGTGAGTCCATAGATACACAGAAACACCAGGGAGATAAGAATGTGACGACAATACTCTCATCACAATTAGATCACATAACTTTCTGAAGACTAACACATAATGGAGGTATAAAATAGGGCAGTCCCAATTGGCAGGAATTTGTATATTGTCATAGTCAAGTACACAGACTAATCTTATTAGTAATATTAAACCAATAAGTTAGCAAACAGATAAAACAGAATAAAGAGCTGGAAGATGTTGTTTCAGTAATATATGGTATAAAATATAATTTTAGAATTATTTGGGGAAATCGAGATGAACGCAAAATAGGTAACTCAGAAGGAATTCCCCCTCAGTGTAACCAATGTGATATATAAGAATCTGAGAAAAAGAGAAAGAGAACATTTTTAGCAAGAAATTTTAAAGCAAAGAGCAGATTATTACATCGAAATAGCCTCCTTTGGCAGCAAAATGTGCGGCGTGATGTCTTTCATTGTCAAATGCATTCACTTCAGCTCCTCTCTCCAATATCCCGCGAACTAGTTCCAACACTCCTTCTCGTGATGCTTCCATTAAAGCAGTGCGACCTGTGGACTGGATATTAAACAGATCAAATGCTGTTTATAACTGTCATATTAAATAACACCAGTGATGCCAAGTTTAAAATTCAGTATACATATGGTCTAAATCCATTTGGCCTGAGGGACACAGGAAATGTGTTTGTTCTCACCATTTTTATTAGTTTCATG